TTAGGGCTAGGCGTTTGACAGTTCCATATGCTTAGCTTTGCTTTTGATAGCGAAATCGTTCCGTTAAAACAATTTAATAAAATGTGCTTATAAGCATAGGCGTCTATGACTGTACTATTACATAAGAGTTGATTTAAATAAAACACTTTAACGGTTTAAACGCGAAATATAGTTATTAACTTATTTTTGTCCGTTCGGTTATATGGTATAGTCCAATTGGTTACTTTGCAAAAGCCGTGGTTACGGGTGAACTGAAGACGTAGGATGAATAATGAAAAATACTAATTTGGTAAATATACCAAAATAAATACTATTATTTTCTATTATTACCTAAAGTTTAAAAGCTTACAATTGTTTTATTAACATTCACCAATAAAATATTTTTCTTGGGACACAACAGTGGGATTCAATCATTACTTCTGATTTCTTAAGTTTTGGTTAGAAGTTAAAATTATTGTTTGATTCATGAATTTCAACATTTTCTTCTACTTCAAACGTTAAGAGTTGAAGATCACTGAAAATCGACAATACATCTAATAAATATATGTATTTGTGTTTATTTGTTGTTAGATTTGTGCGAATAACGCAGGTCGGGAAAGAAACAAAAGAATAAATGAGTAAAAACATATATTTTGTATCACTCGATCATTAAATAACTATAATTAAATGAAACCGGTTCACTGAAGCAATATACACACATACACGACTAACACACATTTATATACAACTAATGTACACATATCCTAAATATATTTACAATATACTATGGCATTAAACCGATAAGGAACGACTCTATTAATATATCTATGGAATACAATTATTTGCGCGCTAGTCACTATTCATTGCGATATTTTTGTAGACTCATACCGCACACAAGAATAAGCCCCCAACTTAGATCACATTGTTTATAATATTAACAATATTGTTTGCTATTTAAACATCTTAGACCTTTCAAAGACAACACGAGCCGTTTTAAGTGACGTAACTCTAGTCTACCTTTATGCCGTTGTGTGAGTAAGACAAAACATCCAACAGGGCATAGACAACACACTATGGCGCATTGAATTGTTTAATGAAAATATATAATCTGTAGTCTTTACAAATAAAATAAATTAGGCATGCCCATGAATAAAATATAATTGATTACCTGTAAGCTTGGCCAATTCTTACAAACCAAACGAAATGTTTTCGTGTACGTCAATCCTGATAATTTTAGAATCGTAACATGCTTTATTCCAATATTTAAACCTTTAAGTACTTAGTAGAAATAAATATTTATGTACAATCTCTGTAAAAAGTAAATCTAATTAATGCTAACGAAAACATTCATAGCAACTATCAGAAAAGCAAGAAAAACCTAACATTACTTCATTAAGTAGTTTTAAAACAATAAACTAAAATAATATTTTTTAATTAAACGAGATTTAAAATACATATGTTCGTTAGGCTCTTCTTACTTTTTTATAATTAAGTTGCTTTTAAAGTTCTGGCCGTTATTATCTGTACTTTAAGTAAATACTAACTTGCACAATGATATTCCCTCAATTATTATAAAAAAAAATAAGAAGGTAGAAAAAATTATGCCAAAAGAAATTGTAATTTAATATCAATACGTCAATCTCACATCTAAATAATGAAGTCAAAAATATTCTAAAACCATGTACTCCAATTGACTCGGCCTAAGTTAGGTGCTCGTAAAACATAATATAAATTCTATATGATAGAGACTAAAGGAACAGTCTTAATACTAGGATAATTTGAGCGAATTAACAATGTAGATCAATACATCGATACATCTAGTGTTCATTGGTCGAACCTACTGTAATTTGCAGTGTTTTAATCAGGCGATTCGTATGGGTACAAGACGAGAGGAAAGAACCAAATTTATAGTGACCTCGCGAGATTTAGTCATCCGCAGATGCATAAACGCTCATTTCCTTCTCGAAAAGGCAAAAGAATTTCAATTACCGACCGCCGCGCTTATCACCAAACGATCCTCGAACCGAAAAAATCCCATGAACATGCCACTACACATATTAAGACACTTTATCCCCGGTTTATTCATCAGCCGCCCGAATTTCCTGGGAATCGATAAATATTCGATCCGCATCGCGCCGTCAATCCATAAAAATCGATTATTCGACTCCGAATCGATTCCGTGCAATCGTTTCTCCAATAAAGGAATAATGTCGCTTAATCAGTAAATTAAAGTCAATCGAGATGTATGTAATTAAAAATCGAGTTGCCTTTGAATAGATCGTTAAAATATCGACATGCCCGATAATCGGAAACAGTTAATGAATAAACCGTAATAAAAACCGCTAATCAATATCGGTTCGCGTTTAATTGAGCTGAAAATGAAAATCTATGAACTATGATGGAATGGCGGGGAATTTATTCGGTTTTCCGATTCAATTATTCGCTTTAAAACGTCGAAATGAACAGTAATAAAAATCTTTATTCAATTTTCATCTTTTGTCTCCCCGTGACCACGGCTGCTGCGAAGCATCCGAAACGTCGGGCCATAGTTAAATAATTCTCAAACAAGATTTAACTAATACATATCGCGTTCTAAACCTTTAATCTTATATTCAAATGTATCAGTATCTTACAAGCTGTATCTTTTTAAAAGTCTGATATATTACTTTAAGTGTTTATGAAAAATGTTTCGACTCTTGTGAGCGCGTACAGCGAACTGTTAAAGCCAACAACTCATAACAGTGGCTAATTACTATCATAAGAGCTTTACAAAACAATTTTCACAGCATTGAGTAGGCGCGGTACACCCGCATACCGACGCGAGATTTACGTTCACTAAATAGGACAATGAAATCATCGTAAAAGCTCACGGAGTTAAAAGTAATTTCGCATGAATAACTCCGTACGGTGTCACTGTCAAAACGTCATAAATCCTTCCTCCGAATTAATGGTGCTTCGTAAATACATTAAAACACACAAACGTAAAGCATTGTACAAGTTATTAGCAGGTGAGGCCGAGAGTTCGCAATCGATAAAGCAATACGAGCCCCGTAAATCACCGAACAAAGGACGGAAAAGAGAGTACAAATTACGCGCGTAATCGGCCCATTTCAAAGATTATGCGTCAGATGCAACCGCAGACTATATTTGTGTGACATAACACCATAGATAATAATAGTAATGGTAAGTCCCCAAAAACGTTTGACATTTAATATTTCGCCTAATTTCCAGAGCACTATTAAGTAAAAATTATGTATGTCGAAACAAATAAAAACATCAATTCACATTTTATCTATATCTTAAAGAAATTAGGTACAAAGATTTCTATACAGATGTCTGTAAAAGCTAACGTTTAAAATCGTAACATTTGAAGCTTTTTACGAATTCAGCGAACAATAGGTATTACAAGCTCCCACGCTCAGCCGACTTCAAATTAAACGATTAATTTTCAACTCCGTATCGCACGGACGCAATTAAAAAACGATTTTTTAACCGTGCTTTAACTTTACATGTGGGTGGCGATGGACGATATAATTAACGTTAAGCATAGGCATTTAGACGTATTGAGTAAGGAATTTTCAAAAAAATAAATGTTTACTAGATAACACATTGACCAGAGACAACGAATCTATCGAACCGTGACCATCATTGCGACAAAAAACCAAATGCTCTTTAAGTCTATACAATAATATCAGACGCGTGAAAGCCAGCTCTAATCAGATCTCGAACTCGTAGACAAATAACTAAACTAGCTATCAACAGCTTATAAACAATTTCGTTTCGTCGCGAGCAATTACCGTGGGCGATCCCAAACGTTGATACCATTTTCAGAACGCACCTCTTAATAATAGGCCCACAGACGACGCGCTAATCGCCTCCATCTTTGTCTATGGCTCCTTTTGACGTTTCGTTCCGTCTCCCTCCCACAACTATCAGCGTTAAGAATCTAACTGTCTAATTATACCCACATCACTGGTCGCATCAAAGGAGGCATTTTTAATTAATTTAATCCCGAAACTATTATAATGCGGCCAATTTCGTTATCTAATAATTCTTGACGCGCTAACAAGGGGCCATTTTGTACGACTTTAATGACACGCTTTGAATGGAAGACGGTTAGTGAAGTGTGATTAATTCGGAATTTGAATCGATTTATGAATGCTGTTAATATTTAATTCATTTACGACAGCCATATAATAGTTTATAAAGACGAAAATAACATAATAAATGCTTCTAACGAATATGGTTATGTTACGAGAATAGCCAGTTATTGATTTTCTTTATGATAGAGTGTCCTCCTCTACGAGCTCACTTGATGATAGGTGAAATACCCCCGCCATATAACCTGGACCACGTTGAGGTGTCGATCTATTTTAGCTTTGGATATTCGGAAATCCATAGGCTGAAGCCGAAAAGTGACTAAACTTCACGGTTTTTTTATCTATGGACGGTGATTCAAAGCCTGGAAAGATATTCCTATCGCCTTTTTATATCCATATTTCCAGACGAAGTCTAACATGTTTCGGTAGAATTGTAAGTTTATTACAAAAATGTTAGAACCAATGAATATCGAAGCCATGACCTGTTGATTATTAGTCATAAGTTTAAATAAAACACTTTAACGGTTTAAAACGCGATATATTAGTTGAACTTATTTGAAATTGATGGTCACGGGGAGACTACGGCTGCTGCAAAGCGCCCGAAACGTCGGGCCGAAGTTAAAAATCATTTTTAAATAAGTTTAACGAATATGTTGCGTTTTAAACCGTTAAAGTGTTTAATTGAAATGTGTACTACTCGCGTAAACTATAGACAGTATTTAGTCATAAGTTTCTACCATAAGACTAACGAGCTCATCGAAATAATTAGAAAAGAAAAGTAAGAATATAGGTTCGACCAATCGACAGTGCTAAGTCTTTAGAAAACTATACATCGTCCAATTAATAAATAAGTAGAATTATTTTATCTAAGATACAATTAAATTACAACCATATTTACAAGTCTCTAAAGTACATTTCACTCTACGTTTCGTTCTCACTTTCACTAAGGTCATCCATGTCCATATCTATTAGTTCCTCGTCCTCATCATAGGAATTGTTGAAGTGTTCCTCTGGCTTGTTACCAGAAGAACTGGACTTGCCAGTCTTTGCCTCTTCTTCTTGCTGCATTCTTTTATGCTTCGTTCTTCTATTTTGGAACCACACTTTGACCTGTCGACAAAGAAATCCCATAAGTATGTGTATAAGTTATAGCAATCAATAAGAGGTATTTTTAAAATTAGAATAACATATGCCTCGTAGTACGTAAAAGCTGATATGCTAATGATAACATTATCAACAACTTAAAACGACAGCTTTGACAATTATAATCTATATCTATATTTGTTTGTTTGTTTGAACGCGATAATCTCAGGAACATCAGGGTTCGAATTAAGAAAATTTTTTATTGCGTTAGAGCATTTATCGCTGTGACTAATAAAAGAGAAAGTACAGCGGGAAATGTGAACAAAACGGGGAAAAATTTTTTCATCTCTGTGGGTTTCAGATGCGTACGCTGCGAAAACGGTTCAAGACACCTAAAAAATGTGTATAAAAGAATGATGTAAGATAATAAGCGACGCTATATGTCTATCTTTTAAGATTAACTTGCAAGAACGACGGGAAGGGACACGTTCGCCATCATGGCTAACAACCTAAGTTTATAAGGATTTTGAAAGACGGGTGTGCAAAAACTAATTTGGAGGCCCAGAATAACGATTCTCACGGGCGAAGTCCCTGGCACAGCTAGTTTAATTATATAAAGAGGCTTATGTCGACGAAAACTTAATCATATATAGGTATTCTTAATATAATAGCACGGTGGAATCCGCACCAAATATAAATCATTTACAGCTAACTTAACAACAATAAAGGGTTAAACTAACTATCGATGCCCCCGTACATCGAAAACCCTATTCAAAGAAAACTATTCGAACACAAAGCAGATTTCCCGCGCAAAAATACAATCCGCCATCTTGTCAAACAATTTGTCACGGGTTTAATGGCTTGTGAAATCTATGCGCGATGTTGCCAGTTAACTTTGTGCCGAGTTTCGAGGAAATATGGTAATTTTGTACATTGCCAAAATGTAACTGCACCATTTAGATTTTGTAAGGATTTCGCTTGACGGCTTAACTACTTTATTCGTAAAGCCTTTGTTTATTTGACGTTAATATTCTTGCGTCTGATATTTATTGTTATGCCATTTTATAAATACAGTTTAGTAATTTAACTGTTTTTTTTTACTTTTATTTTCTAGCATACATAGAAACAATTAGTATTTAATATTGATTTAAACGAGCCCTTATGATTATTAAGGCGTATTCACACATAGAAAGAACTACATAGTATATAACATGTACAAGGGATTGTATTTCATACATATAAAGTTGAGTTAACAATTATTACGCGTCCCCAATACCGAAACAACGCAATAAGAGCCATAAAGAACAAATAAAACGTTATTTATCGTTGTTTGAAAATGTATAAAGTACCCAATCATTCTAAACATATTGAAGTACGGTTTTCGCACATATAATTTGACTTGGTACCTAATCATTTTACGATTGAAATTTACAGCCGTGCTTTTGTCGAGTTGGTTTAACTCCGTTGGTACCGCTAAATGTTATTAGAGGTCTAACTGGCTTATTGTTTTTGGTAATTATGACACAAAACGTATTGTCTATTATTTATGCAAGTGGTACTAATTATATAAATCCACAGTCAGGTCAGTTTAATTTCATTCCGAAAAAATGTAGGATTTTCATGGAATATATGGCTTTCAAAACAAATTTGTTCGTCTCTCTTATTATGAATATGGTAACATTTTTCTTTTATTGAAAACTATAACTATCAAGTCAAAATTATTGTTAAAGTACAATACAAAAGGTTTCGATTCTAAACTGTTAAAGAAGTTTAAATCATTTCATAGTTAAGACTGTATCTTAATTTGAACAGTGGCAGTTGACGTCACTGAAGAAAAAACAATTGGTTAATTTCTCGTGAAAATTCCTGTCTAACGGGTTCCAATCTATTGTGTTATCAGTTTAAATTAGCTGGTATTACCTTTGACTTTAAAATCGATTACCTTAAAAGATAGTCATTTTTTAGATTATTTAAAGCTCTTCAGCTTCATTAGTATTAGTAGTTATTTTATACAAATAACTACTTTTCATTACCCTTCACCTTATTAACTACCAAATCTATGCTGAAGTTGCGAATTTACTCTATCGAGCGAAGGGGACTATACTCATATATCACAGACTGAAAATTTTAATCCTTAAAAATATTGACTCGTACTCATGGGCATTTGAAATCCTTATAAAATCACACGATGGGAACGCACAACGGGGCGTCCATTATCATTTATTATTAGAATGGAATGAACCGTAACCAAAAATACTGGTAGGGGCAGATAATCCCTCAAAATTAGATTACAAAGACTCCGTCATGGTACATTAACACTTCATATATTGACATCAAATATCAATTTGGCGAACACCCTATGTGTGGGTAATGGCGCGTGGTAGAGAGGGATGGAGTACGGGAGAGACAGAGATGAAGATAACCAGATTTCATTTAAATGCATTTCTAATGGCAGTGATTTTTTATCATCTACATTTGATACTGTCTATAGTTTACGCGAGTAGTACACATTTAAATAAAACACTTTAACGGTTTAAAACGCGATATATTAGTTAAACTTATTTGAAAATGATTTTTAACTTCGGCCCGACGTTTCGGATGCTTTGCAGCAGCAGTGTTTTATTTTAAATCTACATTTGATATATAGCTTTTTATATAAGTATCATGCATCACTGAAAATCGGCGCTGCATCAAATCTGTTGTTGCAGCAATAGCTACCAAAGCAAAGCAAATGTTTTTCAGTGTAATTATTATAGAATTTGACATTTATCTGCATCCTTAATTACTCTAAAAGTATTTCTGTTCGCTTTACACAAAACCCCGACGACATAGTCGCGTGCGCAACTAGCACTCAACTTATGATAATAATTGTGCAAAATTTACGCAATAGTACATAATTAATGACACACTTTGTAACAGCAATCTATCATTTCCAGACAATGAACCGAGCTGCAATAAAGCAGTGCGATCCTTCAACAAGACATTAACAATGTAACACAATGATTTTACTAATATTTCACACGTTTTAACCGGTGTTTTGCGTTTCTGAAGCGGTTTTATGACTCTTAAATACAGGTAAGGGCAAACGGAATGACTTATTTGGACGATTCATTGCAACTATGTGTACAAAACTCTTCGTTCTTCTTAAAAGGATCCAGAAACTTCCATTTGTCGCAGAAGGTTTGCTCATCGATAAGTAGGTATTAAAGTACAAATGATTAAAATAAAACACTTTAATAGTTTGAAACGCGATAGATATAAGTTAAACTTATTTGAAATTTATTTTAACTACGGCCTATACTTTCGGATGCCCTGCAGCAGACGTGGTCGCAGCTATATAATATATATCGCGATTTAAACCGTTAAAGTGTTTTATTTAAATGTGTACTACTCTCGTAAACTACAGACAGTACAAATCATTAAGTAAATAATATTATCATTCAAAATAAGATAATAGGTAGTTTCCTCTGAAGGGTTAAGTTGCCCTAGAGGCGGGGTGCAAACGACCACTATTATAGATGGTGTTTGACAAAACGTTCCTTAGGGACGAGTGCCGTTATAGGTACCTACACGATTAAGGGGAATTGGGATTTGTAACGATTTAGAAAATTGCCCGGAGGTTAATTTTGCCATGTAATTGTGGGATTGACATTGATATTTCACTCGCAAGAATTGATCACTATTAAGCCAGAGGTTTTTATATAAAAATGACTTATGAGTGGCTTAGTCCAATATTTCCTATTAAACTTTATACGACAGTTAACTTCACATTTCTACGAACAATTCAGAAAAAGGAACAAATATTTTTATTATCATAGTTGTCAAGTTTTGAAATAAAATCCTCCCAAATCTTTAGATAGCCAAGCGTCATTTGATTTTAACGGGTTTTAGAAAATTATGACCTTACTTAAGAGCTATTAGTGTTTCTTAATATAATACGCGCAGTCAAACCATAAATATAATCATCTATGTCTAATATTAAAACTTAAACTTAATTTAGAAACTCCATTTTAGTTTACAGCCTCACGAATCGTCGTTATTAACCAAACAATAAAACTAAACAAGAGCCAATTAAAATTTAGAAAACATTTGTCAATTCTAAACAAGCTATTAAACAATTATAAGCTTTTCATGCAAATTTAATCGTTCAAATTTCGTTATATGGCAACAATAAACATCCCTCGCATCTGCCACTCGCGACCAATTTAAAAGAGTACCCGGCGCAAATAAACTCCCACTTAATAAAAGTTCTGGCAACACTGGTCCTATAAACGTGTTAAGTCTCCACAAACAAGATAGAAGGGGAATAGCAATACACTGAATAAATATAAGGGTGTCATTCTAGCCCCGAAATGCGATTAAGTACTTATGTACGCGATTATACCCCCAACGGATTAAAGCGAGACGGGCATACGAAAACGCGAGCGCGAGAAAAGGGCAGATGGCGAGGGGAGATACGCAATTATGGGGTACACTGTGAATTGGGCCAAAATTTAAGCGGAAAGCTATTTATCTGTATATTACTTTATTGTCGAACCATTAGCGCGGGAGCGGGACGAAATTACGGGTGCGAGAGAGAGGTGCTTAGCGACAAATTGGGGTTGCTAGTTGCGATATTAGTAAGAGATGGATGGAATCACTTCTATTCGCTAGAGAAGGACGGACGAGATCAATTGCTTGGTAATAATCGCTTTGTGAGAATAATTGGGAAATAGGCAGTCAATTATAGTACGCTAGTTTATCTGTGATTAATGTTTACTTTTGAATTAGGTAATTGTCTCTTTTGAAAGTGACGGTTGGAGTTTTCGGTAGCTGAAACCGATGCTTGCAATTTGATATTGGATTGGATGGGTGTCATTATTCTCTCGCATTGCTTTTGTTCTATTTGTGCCTTGAGTCGACAAAATGTATTTATTACTACGTATAAGTGTTTTTTCCTTAACTTACCTTCCCCTAACGTCCCTACATTTTTCTAATGATGTATAAAATAAACAACGTGACACTGCTTTAAAAATATGATAAAACAA